AGTCGGTCGAGTGGCTTCAGGTCAGCTCGTCTGGAACGGTTAGCTGCAAGGGATGAATGACCTTGAGGCAGCGAGGTCTCGAACAATGACACCAGACCAGTCATTATGGCTGCCACTACAGATGCATCCCAGGAGAGAAGCCAGAGGTCGACTTGGCAGAACTCCCTCCAACAGTCTGACAGCGAGCAAGTCACTCACGTAAGTGGCCTACGGAACTTTCCCACAACTGAGTCGATGTTAACGGATGACAAATATCCTGGCTTTGCTCACATGAGCCGGGCGTCGTAATTGCATATGCTCAATCTGACAGACAGCAGTAGCGCCTACCCAAGCAAAAGCCGTGTTAATTACTGCAGCCTCCAGTGAACGGCAGATGGCATCTCAGGTGGCTATGATGCTGTTTTACACAGGTTGATCTTATCTGTTCAGCCAGACAGGGACGGCAGAAACCAGTGAACTCGGAAAGGTTCGTTTGGGGAAAGTCAGAATCAATCTGTGGCCAGGTAGGTCGAAGCATCTTCGCAGTGATTCTGGCTAACAATTCGGAAATATCATCAAGGAAAAAGGAACTGCCGTGAGTCGTTGCGGCTTTTAACAGTTTGTGCTTTAAAAGGTCAAAAGTGTTCGCTCTCTTGACCCATGCGTACGTAATTGAAGGCAAGAAAGGTCAGTGGGTCTCTATAACTCAAAAGAACCCAGTCAACTTGAATGCGGTTCGGAGTTTCGCAGACGCCTTCAAGCAGCAGGAATGCCCACTGGACTGACCGGTTGACGGACTCCAAAACAAATATTGTGTCCTTCTAGGTAATGTCAAATTTTTTGAAACAAGCGACACTGAACAGCGAGACCTGGAAAAGCCCTGATCATAGCCTCTTCTGATGGTTGCGACATTGTTTCCGATGGTAGGGGGCGCTCACCCTTCGTTCTTAGAAGTCCACGCTGTGGCCCGGCGGTTAGAGGCGTGGACTTCTAACTGACAGGTCGCGAGGTCGAGCCTCGGGTGCTCAACACTTCGGGGTTGGGAATGGCTGGCTGACGACGGCTAATAAGCCAGAAACGGCCATTCCAGGCTCCCTTGTCTTTGTCGGCAATAACATACATTGTTTTCAATCAGGGGGAGAAACGCGGACAAGAACGGGCTGCCCGTTGGCATGACCACTGACCACCAATCGATTAGTGGTGGAACTGTTACCAGTAAGGGCTAGTTGCGAAGGATGCAGCCGCTCTGGGATGAGAGGACTACGTAGTCACGGACCAACAGCGATAGTGACACCAGGGCGTGGGAACCGAAATCTGGTATACCGACTGCCCTCTAACTGTCGCAGAGCCCGGCGACGGTACAGGGACGTGTTGACCGCCGCTGTCCTGCGTTTATTTTCTTCAGAAAGAACGTTACAGACAAAAAACTGAATCTCAATCCGTGCCACGACGTCCGCAGGAAGAGACGCGCTCGCAACTTTGGATCATTTCTACGGACAAATAGTATGCTACCTGGACTACGCGATGACAAACGGTCCTTTGCCAGTGGGAGGCTAGGATATGCAGACGTTCTTCGAGTCTAATACAAAAAGCCCGGCAGCGCAGTCTTTACCGGTTTACCACCTGTCCAAAATCCTAACCCTGGACTCGGGCTCTCGTGAACTCATGATCTGGGGTGTCAAGTCCCACTCTGCCCCCCTGTAAGTGGTTCAGGCAATCCCGATGGAACGGTTGTCCTCGCGATAGATTAGCGTACATACCACTGGAAGGGCACTCTCCTGACCTTTCATTTCTGTCTACGCACCAGCATTAATTTTGGCCAGCGAGAAGGCTGCCCACAAACAGGCTGAGATCTAACCAAGAGACTTCTTCAGCGCGATCTGGCGATTAATGTCGGTGGAGGGGACGACCAGACTGGTCAAAACGACTTTCTTAAGAAAGCAACCTAACGGGCGTTCTGGGTCCGCTTCTCGACTTGGCAGTCGTTTGTCACCAACATTTCAACAGCAGTTGTGCTGCCAGTCAGTCTGACTACGCCTTAGTCAGCCCAACGCTTATTAACTGATGCGTGACGGCTGATAGATATGTGACGTCGAAATTGGCAACATCTGTGGGCTAGACCACCTTTCTCATCCGCACAAATCTGAACGTTTGCCTGTCACTCGCGCCTGAAGTGACGAATACAAGGCGTCCTAGCGCCATAAAATGACGAAGACCCACCACAGTCTAGGCTATTAATACAGAAACCCGGTAGCGCTTCGCAGACCCACGAGGAGGTCATTATCGCAGTCCGCAGGGCAGAGTGCTCGAACTCATGCGACAGTGCCGCAATGACTGGATCAACTTCAGGACCGCATAGTTACCTTTAAAAGCAACTTGGGCTAGATCGCACAACAGTCATCCTTTCTACTAAATACAAACGGAGACGACAAAGCCTGCTAACGATGACTGTAATAACAGGCTGTAAAAGTGGCTTCCGATGAGCATAACGGAAGAGACGTTTCGCGGGATCAGTGTATTGCGCGGTTGGTGTTTCACAGACTAGTTCCTCCTTAGTCATTAGACTGGTAGTACCCGTATTTGCGCGAGTCGCCTTGCCTGTCTAGTACATTGTCGCTACGGATTACAGACTGACCATTATCATGTGTGTTTGTCATAGTCAAGTTCCGGTGTGTGAAGAGCACTGACGAGGGGGACTGGAGATGCCATTTCTGGCCTGTTCGCCGTCATCAGCCAGCCATACCCAACCCCGAGGCTCGAACACGCGACCAGTTGGTCAGAAGTCCAACGTCCTAACCATTGCGCCAGGGGCTCGTTGTCCTGTCGGTTGCGATAGGGTATACTAACAATGGTAGAGGGCGTTCACCGAACGCGTTAGGAGACATAGTCATCTGCTGTTTACCGGGGCTCAATCCAGATCCCCGCCAGAAACCGCACAGCGGTCCGTAAACCTGGGCGTATTAACATTATCGAGTCCGAGCCCCGGGAGTTGCATACCTCGGTGTTGGGTATGACAGGCTGACAACGGCTAACAAGCCGGAAATATCCATCCCAGTCCACCTTGTCTTGGTCGGTAATGTTATTCCACCTACATTACGCGCCGCTAGGCGGCTGCTGGTTGGGCTCGAAACGCAGCCACAAACCACAACGGGTCGAGTGAGTTCCGTAATGTGGTCGATGCGCCACACTCTGGCAGAGATCAGCAACGGAAAAACTATCAGCCTACATGGTCAGCCTGGCTGTAGATCCAAAGTCTGCAATATCAGTCGATTTTCGTGAATTTTTGTCATCCCGAGTGGTGTGGGGAGTCTAGCCGGCGTCCCACGCGTTACCTGGAGTCGGCTAGGAGCTCGACTCAACACCGCCAGCAGCCGATGCGTCCAAATGACCCCACCGTCAACGGAGAAAATTCGTCCAAATGTTGTAATGTGGTTTTAGGGTGCGACTAAGCTAAGAACACTGGTCGCTAACTACAGACTAGTATGTGCGAGCACCGACTGCCGGTGCAAAAGTTGGATTCAAAATCCGATAGCAGACCCTGCTAGCGGGTAGTTCAACTTCGGCGCAGTCCAGATCGTGAGTAGAGGCGGTCGTTACTCAGTGCGACAGCTGCAAGAGGCACGGCTACCTCTCATTCAACTGCCATATAAAACTACTGAATTCGTACGTGACTCTAAGAGCTCAACTGACAGCAGCTCAGATTACCAGAAAACACTGGTAAACGACAAAAACAGGTAGTAATGGCTGGTCAGCAGCCGGCATTGACAACGTAATAAACAGGCACAGCGGCGCGCGCAAACCAGTCTTGTCAGTCTACCGCGCATTAAACCTGTCTTGGCGAAAAATGCTTACTTCTCCATACTGCAAGAACTGATGGGTCGAAGTGACAATTATCGAACAGGCCTCCAGCGTGAGCAACGCTTGAAAATTACATCAAACTATTCAAGTTGCTCCCGGATCCCTTGTATTGAGTAACCATATTTGCAATGTGAATGCCAACTTCATTGCCGACACCTCAAAAAGGAGCAGCGTGGGCGTGAAGGCCTAAATGGTCATCCCAGCTTCGACGACCAATGCATAACCACTTCTGGGGGCACAGTTACATCTCCCACCGGCCTCCACAGGCTCCCATGGCCCATTCTTTTTGACGGAAATCACCACTGTAATAAGACAATCGGGACAGTTTTGATTTGTGGATGTCATACCTGACCGTTATGGTCTAGAAACTTTAAATGCTTAGAAAATCAAAAACGAAATTGCTGAGAGGCAAATTGGCAGAGGATGGGAACAATGAGGTACAACTATCTTCGTAACAATCTAGCCACGCGGAGTCCGACTGAATGTGCTGACCTCAAGACCTTATGACTTAACGTTAAATTATGCGCCAGTCCGCCTGAGAAAATCATGCATTTCGTAATGCGCTGTTACCAGGAATTGAAGGCCGAATACTTGAAAAAATGAGCAGTTACATATATAGTTGTCAGTAAAACAAGGCGCCAAAACCCATGCAACCCCAGAGATAGCTAGTTCGAACGTTTAATAGACATCAGCGTTCGAATGTTGGGCATTGTTCGTGCCCTCTCTACACCGACCGCCTGGTGTTACGGATCCGTCTACATGGTCGGCTGGTTCTCAAAGAAACGGCTACACCAACACTGTCCGAGTCCTAGAAATTGCAACATGTGATCAGAGGGCAGACTGGGGCGTATAAAAAATGATTTAACCCACCAGAAAACAGCCTGGTTAATTCTAAACCGGGAATGCGGAGGACTATCACTAGATAAAAACTCGAAGGCGAGCCAAAAGATTTGTTCGAAATTCAAGCCTAAGGAGTTCAAGCTAACACGACTGCACCTCTGAGCACAAAAGTTCAGTAAACAATTTGATGTGCTTGTAATCCATTAAGTGAGAGGGTCGGCAATAATTCTGTGTTAAACAGGATTGGGGTAGCGAAAGGCAGAAAACCCGCTGATAACAACAAATGCACAAATGCACCAAGAAGGCGTAATACAGCCGAATACTTAGTCGGAGGACTCCGTTTCGGACTCAGAGCTCTCAGACTCCTCTTTCTTGTCAGTTCTGGGATCGGCTTTCGGGGAAGGCTTCTTTGAGGTCTCCTCTGTTTCGGATTCACTTTCTGTCTCAGAGGATTCAGAATCAGAAGCCTTTGACCCCGCTGTCGGTTTCGAGGCCGTTTTTGGTTTTTCCGAAACCTCTGATTCCTCGCTCTCGCTATTGGATTCAGATTCTTCCGTCTCTTTTTTAGTTTTGCCAGCGTTTGATGCTTGGGGAGAAGCCTTCTCTTCCGACTCTTCGGACGATTCTTCACTTTCTGACTCCGAGGACTCTTTGGTCTTAACTTCCGTCGTCGACTTTTCTTCCTTTTCGTCCTTCGCTTTCTTATCATCCTGCGCCTCCTCAGACTCTTCAGAGGAGGAAGCCGACTCCGATTCGGAGGAAGCGGATTCCTTCTCGTTTGCTCCCTTAGCCTTTTCTTTGGCACCATCGGATGGCTTTGACTTCTTATCTCCGGATTTGTGTTCTTCCTCGGCCTCTTCGCCTCCTGACTTTGTCTTCTTTTTATCAGAGGCTTCAGAGCTGTCACCGTCAGTGGACGAGCTCTTTTTTCGCTTTGCACTAGCAGATGAGCCGTCCTCTGACTCACTTTCGGAGGCCTGAGAGGCTTCACCATCCGACTTTTCCTTCGAAACTTAAGTAAAAAAGAGATCCTACCTTTTTCGGAGCGGATTCAGTTGTTGGTGCCTGTAACGATCAAGGATGCATTACAGATGAGCGGGCAGTTGGTGCAAATTTGGCATGCAGCATGCGACATGCGCGCGACAAGAGCCAATGGGTTTAAGTGCACTTGCGGTACCTCCGACTGAGAAACTATTTCCTCAAACGTTTTCTGTTAAAAAAGGTCAGATGTCGATTAGGGAAGTTACCTCCTTAGCTCCGGGCAAACGAAGGAAGGCCTCGAGATTTTCCAACTCAACTGACTCGAAGAAATCTTCGAAATTCTAAAGAATAAAAAACGAAGGACTAATTACGCCGATGTACTCGTCGTCAATGTAAATAATCGGAGGAACAAATATTTTGTCGATGCTTTTTAGATTCTCGATGAGGGTTAACTTTTTCTCCTCATTTGTAGGATCCGCCAAGTCAATTTCTTCATGTTCGATTTTTTTAGCCGCGAGGATTGTAGAAAGCATCATCTGGTTCTTCTTAACCTGAACAAAGATAAAGCAAAGTGTAACACAAACCCCTAGACTGCCCGAGGCAGACGAAATAAAGACTTTCACGGACATGAAGAGACAGTGTGCGGAGGCTACAAACAACCAAGAGAGCCACTTGAAGGACCCGCGCAACCATTTTCATTTACCAGGGGTGCGTCACAGTCTAAAAGTTCAAAATTAAATATGGAGTTACTAGGGTATCCGAAGGGTCCTGAATCTTTTAATTACTCAGAATGGATATCATGTTCCACAGTCTGCTCGGGTCATAGTTTAAAGATAATTCCGCGAGGTTAGCTGCATGGCTTGAAAACTATGCCGATCTGTAAAAACCCTCAAAATACGTGTACGGGAATCAGTGGGTGCTGGATGTCGTGTCACGTTTTTGTTGGAAGCTTCCGATTATGCAACCAAATCCAAGAAGACAAGTGTCGTCATAAATCTCAAAGGGTACAGTCAGCCAAACCGAAGGCCTAAAGAGATTCAATATTTGTGCTGACATTTAGAACACAACAAAGTCTAGGATTAGAAAACGGAAAGAGAAATGAAAAACATACGACGGTGATAAAGCGCATAGAAGGCGAAAAAAACATAACAAAACGAGGTAAAACTGATGGTTTTACTTGAGCGTGGTATATAATACGTGGTGAATTCGAAATGATAAAAATAACAGGAAGTTTAGAGAAGAAATTGTTCTAAATAAAGGTGCGGCTTGACATCTGCAACTTCGGCGACGCCGCCAAAGACTCCAGGTAAAGACATGGAAGAACAGGCGGTTTGGAAAGGTGGACCTGTCGGATTGAAATTCGTGTATACATCAAACGAACGATGTTGGGCGAAGAAAACAACAAACCAACAGAATCCAGAATAAGAGAATCTCTCGTTTCGCGTTTGTAGAAAGAAGCGAATATGAGGGAATAAACAAATGCCATGCAGTGGGCTGTCATTGCTTTTGGTCAAGCACAATCACATAGTGACCTCGTTTGGTGCCCAGCCAGTGATCTCCTGGGCTGACATAAAAATACTCTCAACTATCGTCTTTTGTTTGCCTGCTAATTACTCCCAACGACATGTTTTTTTTCTCCGTTCTGTCCATAAGAGAACACACCCCCTACTGTCGTCTGCACTCTCGCCCCATTTGGAATACGATCTGAGGGTCGTAGTGGCCCTGACCGTTACGCAGTCAACGGCTTCTCCTATCCACGTGATTTATCGACTTCCAGGTCGGTCAAGTCAGTTGTTAAAACGTGAGTGGGTAAATGTTCAGTCTATCCTCGTTTAATTTTTTTAAAATGCGATATCTCTGTCATTGATCTCAGTCTGAAGTCACTCCTGGTTGAACTATGCCGATTGCAAACCATATGATATACTCATTTCATATGATTCAGCTTAGGAGAGTAAATAACTGTGGTTTTCGTGGACCAATACATTAGTGATATCTTCGTCCACCTTAGCGACCCAGAGGAGATTGCTAGCGGAAGCTTAAGGGAGGAGCTTAACGGGGAAACAAAGAACTAAGCCATTAATCACAAGCGGGATATCGTTTGAAAGGGTGTTCTATTGTCTTTATTCTGTATTGTAAAAGAAATGGTGACCACGACCTACATGTTCACCATGATTGCGCTAAAACTGTCCTGCAGGATGGGAAACTCGCCAGTGTACATCACAGTTTCCACTTATGCAAGGCAGAATTAGATAGCGACTTGAGATCATTATCGAGGCCCTTAAAATTGCTTTAAAAAGTTAAACTGAGGCAGCGCTGTCTACCGAAAGAAGAGGGATATTAAGAGATTAGCACAGATAAGTGTTTTATTCGACCGGAGTACAAACCAATGGAAAGACTGAAAATGAGAGGGCGCGAATACAGTGTCGCAACAGTGAAGAAAACTTTTCCCCCCGTCCACCTGTCTTACGGGAATAGTGGTAGGAGGGGTTGTACGGGTGGGGCCTCTAAAACGTGCCAAACAGCAAGTAATATAGTGCGCGATAATTAAAAAATTACATTTACGCCAAAATTTGTTTTAATGCATCAAACGAACCTCATATATGACCTTCACGCTGAAAAAGCAGCCTATGGGAAGCCGGGAGGGGACCTAGGACGTCATGCGTTAACCCTATTGGCCGGGTTAGAACGGAAGCCGTAGTGGCCAGAGGCTTGACCAATGGGCTGGTGGGAGTGCGTATGTTTTGCGCGCTGGGCCGGAGGAAATTAATGGCGCAGGGTTTGCCGTTTTCTCTGAAAAAGGCAACAGCAGGGAGGCATCGAGTGCGCGATAGTAGGTACGGCCAATGGATGCCATGGCGCCGTTAACGTACGCATACGACTTCCATGGCGGTAGGTGGAGCAGGGACGAAAAGCGGTTGATTAGGTAAAGCAAGTTCGCTAATTATGGTGTGCCTATGAACGGGTAGGACAGAAATGCAGTATATAGTATGCTGTATGGGGAGGCATATCGAACCCTAGGTTAGGGTTAGCGGAGACTGTGAAATGTGGGCGTTTTAAGAAGATGTTCACGCTCTGTCCTAACCTGCCGACACACTGGTTAATGAAGTAACCGACTGATGTAGTAGCATGAATTTTTCGTATTGAACCAATTATATTTCATGGAAAACATGCATAAAAATATGCATTTGTTGCCCATTAGGTACAAAATTACGTCTTTGTCCAATTTTACACTCAAATTCGGTTGGAAAAAGTTCCTAATTATGACCTTTTTTTAATAACCGTGGAATGCCCATTCATAAAACACCGAGTCTCTGTAGTTGCAGATGTTGCTTGTAAAATTTACAATATGGTTCAAATCCACTGCTGAATTCTGTGGACCGCCTATGGTCTCCTCTTAATACAGGAAGGTTTTCCGTACGCGGAAAATATACGGCCCGAGTTTCTGAAGTCTAAATGTAAGTTTAACTGCAGGTCAGGTTCGAAATTATGCAGGAATTGGAAAACTCTTCGAAAACTGAATTAAAGCCGTCCTTTGAGTTTAACATTTGGAAGATGATGCAATTTTCTATCCAGGAAATAAAAAAATGACTACGTTTATGCACATTTTTCCTGAAATATAATTGCATTTTTAACGGTATCGAACACAAATGCGAAAATTCACGCTACTTAAGTAGTCATTTTCTACAGAGTGTGGGTTTTGCAGGCGGCCAAAATGAAGTTCCTTCAAAAACCGACATCCCGTGGTAACTGAATCACTATAGATTTACACTGCAAGATCATTAATTTTGCTACCCTGCCTAAGTGATCTTTTCGAAACGAAGAAGCATTTCAGAAATTCGGTTGACATTTCTTGAGTTTGTCCACCTACTTTAGGTAAAGCTGTAATATTAGTTAAAGCGTAGAACAATCCCATGACATATCGGTTAACTCAGGTGAACCGGTATTTGAACATGTGAATGGATTATTCAACAGAGAGCCTCTTAATAATAATGCCATTGGTAGATTACGGACACGAAGTCACTAAGAAGGCCACCATAGTAAACCGTGCCATTGACAGTAAAACGTTTGCTTAGGTAACACAGTGTGGTCTGTTATGAAAGTAAGTCCCGAGTACGTTAAGGAGTATTTCAAAGCATGCATCGTCATTTATAAATACTCGACGCACCCACAGGTGTGTACGTTATCGGGTACTCATGCAGGCTGGAACCGGTGGGGAAGGGGACGAGTGAGCGAACAGATAACATGAGTAAAAGACCCGGAAAACGCAAGTAGTCTGCCTTGCAACTAATTGTCTCAGTTATTACTTATATGAGCAGGAAGTCTAAGAAATTGTCTGCTGCTTAGACAACTGCATGAGTTCATTAGATTGGTTATACTACTCGCCTTCATCGTGCGGACTGGAAGACCCATATTAAATAAGAGAGCGCTACCTCTGCAGGCAAAGAACTAATAAGTGGTCGGCAGTGTCGTAAAAGGAGATAGCAAACGAAAAGGACGAAGTTTACTATTAATGTGGTTACTTACGAGTAGTATAGCGGGCCACGAGCTGCGTATTCTTATCTACCCAATGTCATGAGATGTTTTAATTCCGTGAAATGACCGTCCATAAAACATTATACTCCTGTAGTTAGTGTTGTTGCTGGTAAAGTCTACGATATAACTCGAATTCCCTGCAAGATTTAATGAACCCCTTATGGTTTTCTCTTAATGTATGATATTCCTCACGCAGAAAATGTATGATGTGTAGGTTCTAAACCTTGAATGCATGCGTAACCGCAGGTAGGACTCAAAGTTAATCGGGAATTGGAAGATGTTTAGAAAACCAAATGATACCCCTCCTTTGAGTATGAAATTTAAAGAAGACGTAATTTTCTACGGAATGAGTGAAAGAAAGAATAAGTACATGCGTGCTTCCCATGACATGGAATTTAATTTGCAAGGCACTCTAAAGTCTACGAAAAAAATCATACTATATAAATAGTCATTGTTTGCGAAAGGCCGGTGTTGCATGCGGCCGGAAAGATGTTCCTTTGAAAGCCAGCGTCCTGCGGTAAATGAATTATTATATGATTAAGCTACGTGATTATTAGGTTCAAAACCCTACCTAAGTAATCTTTTCGAAACGAAAACACCTTTCAGAAATCCAGTTAACATTTGTAGACTTAGCACACTGACTCATATCGCTGACCGATAGTACTAAGTATGTCACTGCTACCTTTATCTGCCGAACAGCAGATAGCAGAAGTAACCGTTAAGACTGATACTGCTAGTAGTAAAGGAATGAATTAGCTAGTAATACGCCAACACGAATGACGTGTGGAAGTGCTGGGTTACGTCTGGGCTGCTGCCAGTTGTGGTAACGAGGCTTTACGGCCACCATTGAACTGCCTGCGTGGAACAAGCCTACTGCAAGTCCTACCGGATTTAAGGCAATGCCGGTACTGCCGCTTCTGTAAAACGTACTGTGCTAGTCCCCACGCGAAAACGTATGTCTGCTGCGTAAACCCCCGTAAAGGTAAAGTTTGTGTACTTAGCTAACAATCGGAGTAATACGGCAAGACAGTTCTCTGCATATGGAAAGGCAGTCCATCCATCGGCAATTTTCGTATACGCAGGTAGTACCGATAAC